TGGGGAAATGGGGAAAATTCTGGAATTCCCAAAGGATTTAGGGGATTGGGAATGGGGAAAATGGGGAAAAATCCTGGAATTCTGGGAATTCCTGAAGGGTTTGGGGGGCTGGAAAACGGGGAAAGAAATCCTGGAATTCTGGGAATTCCTGAAAGGTTTGGGGGGCTGGAAAAGGGGAAAATAAATCCTGGAATTCTGGGAATTCCTGAAAGGTTTGGGGGGTCTGGGAATGGGGAAAAAAAATCCCAGAATTCCAAAGGGATCAAGGGGGAAATTGAGGGAAAATCTTGGATAACTCTGGGAATTCTGGTGGATCCAGGGGCAAATCTGGGATAAATCCTGGGATCAGGGAAGGGAAAAGGGGAGGAATGTGGGAATTCCCAAGGGATCTGGAGGAAATGACTGGAAAATCAGGGATAGCTCTGGGAATTCCTGGTGGATTCCGTGGGAAATTTGGGAAAAATCCTCGGAATTCCAGTGGATTCTGTGGGAAATGGGGGATAAATGCTGGGAATTCTGGTGGATTCTGTGGGAATTCCTGGTGAATTCCACAGGAAATGTGGGATAAATGCTGGGAATTCCAGGGGATTCTGTGGGAATCCTGGTGGATCCAGGGACAAATCTGTGCTGAGTCCTGGGATCAGGGAAGGGAAAAGGGGGAGGAATGTGGGAATTGCCAAGGGATCTGGGGGAGAAATGGCTGGAAAATCAGGGATAAATGTGGGAATTCCAGTGGATTCTGTGGGAAATGTGAGATAAATCCCGGGAATTCTGGTGGATTCTGTGGGAATTCCTGGTGGATTCCATAAGAAAATCAGGGCTAACTCTGGGAATTCCAGGGTCAAATCTGGAATAAACCCTGGGCTGAGGGAAGAAGGGGAGGAATGTGGGAATTCCCAAGGGATCTGGGGGGAGAAATAGTTGGAAAATCTGGGATAAATGTGGGAATTCTGCTGGATCCAGGGACAAATCTGGGATAAATCCTGGGATCAGGGAAGGGAAAAGGGGAGGAATGTGGGAATTCCCAAGGGATTTGGGGGGGAAATGGCTGGAAAATCAGGGATAACTCTGGGAATTCCTGGTGGATTCTGTGGGAATTCCTGGTGAATTCCACAGGAAATGTGGGATAAATGCTGGGAATTCCAGGGGATTCTGTGGGAATTCCAGGCTGGATTCCATAGGAAAATCAGGGCTAACTCTGGGAATTCCTGGTGGATTCCATAGGAAATCAGGGCTAACTCTGGGAATTCCTGGTGGATTCCATAGGAAATCAGGGATAACTCTGGGAATTCCAGGCTGGATTCCATAGGAAATCAGGGATAACTCTGGGAATTCCAGGCTGGATTCCATAGGAAATCAGGG